ACTGAGCCTTGCAAATTTGAACACTATTTTCATTATTATTCAGTTTTAAGTATTTTGTGAATATTTTTCTCATTTCTTTTTTAATCAAAAGGTAAGTTGATAGAATTTTTTTTTTTAATTTTCAGGCATATAAGATTTTTTGGGGGGGTTTAAAATTGTGATTAATTTATGATTTTATTGTATTATATTGTAGTAAGAGTCTCGTTTGCATGTTAGTTCTTTGAAATTTCTTGGGGTTCCCCTGTGTCTTAGACGTGGCATTTTTCTTAATGCTTTAAATGATCTGTATTTTCTATTTAGTGGATAGGAAGTTCTCTGTAGAACTACTGCCCTAAGTTTATTAATCATACTCTTCAAATGTTGTATAGCTTTGCTTATTTGTCTATTTTATCTTCTACTTTTTAGAAGATATAAATTTTTAACTAAAATGCTAGCTTTTAAAATTTGAATTTGACATAAATACAGAAAAGTACAAAAATATAAGTGTACAGTGCAGTGAATTGCCATAAAATTAAAACACTCAGGTAGTTACTACCCAAGTTGAAAAATAGTACATCATCACAACCCTAGAACTGCCTTTGTGTCCTTGTCAATCACTAGAATCCATTTATCCCCATGGATAACTATCAAAGTGCTCACACTGTAGAGTTGTTATGCTTGTGTTTAAACTGTATGTAAATTGAATCATATAGTATGTATATTTTCACATCTGTTTTTTAACACTATGTGAGCCATCCATGTTATTGTACATATCAATTGATCGTTCTTTTTTATTGTCTTGCAGTATTTCACTGAATAAATACAATGATACTTGTATCCATTCTACTGTTTATGGACATTTGCATTATTTTTAGTATTGGCTATTGTAAATAAAGCTACTATGAATATTCTCATCCATGTCTTTGGGTACCTATATGTCCTTCATTTTTATTGGGCGTAATCCTAGGAGTGAGATTTATTGGTCAAAGAGTATGTGTATGTTTAACTTAGCAGATGTGACAACAGTTTACACTTCCAGAAGCAGAATATAGGAGTTCTGGTTGGTCCATATTCGTACCACTTCTGGTATTGTCAGTTTTTATCAAGTGAGCCACTATCATGGTAGAAATTCATATCTCATTGTGGTTTTGAAAACCACAAACGGCTAATATTACTGAGCAGTTTTTCACAAATATATTGGCCATTTTATAAAGTGTTCAGATTTCTTGCCCATTTTCTACTGAGCTGTCTTTTTCCTCCTGATATGTAGAAATTTATTATTTGTTTTGGATATGAGATCTTTCCCAGTTGCAAATGCCTTTTCCCATTTTATGGTTCACTTTTACAATCTCTTGATCATGCATTTTGATGAACTGAAATTCTTAATTTTAATACATTCTAACGTATCTTTTTTTTATGATTAGTACATTGTGTGTCCCTTTAAAAAAAAAAATCCCTGCCTACACCGAATTGAGACATACTTTCTGTGTTTTCTTCTGGATCAGCAGTCCTCATTAGAAACATAATGTGAGCCACAAATTTGAACCACATATATAATTTTTTTTTTAAGATTTTTTTTTATTGGGTAATTGGGGGATGGGAATAGCGCTGGGGAATTGGGGGAAGGGGAACAGACAAGTTGCTGTCGTTTTGTTCTTCAGTCTAGTTGTGGAGGACGTTGCTTCACTGGCCCAAGTTGGCACCATCATTGCGCTCTTCCCGGGCGAGGCAGATCAGTCACCATCCTCTGGACGGCCACTCACTGCGGCTGCTGGCCGCTCACGCTGGCTCCTGGCTACACACGGTAGCCCATGGCAACCCACTGCCACAGGGGCTGCAGCCTACGCCGTCGCCGGCGACTCACGGCAGCCCAGCTCCAGGTTGAGCTGTTGTTCAGCATCTTAGCTGTGGAGGGCAGTGTCACTGGCCCTCATAGGTGGGATCTGAACCGGGCCCTCTGGTGTCCCAAGCCAGCTCTTAACCAGTGCGCCACTCGGCCGGCCCACTATTATAATTTTAATGTTTATGTAGCCACATTAAAAAAATAGTAAGTGGAATTAATATAAATAATAAAATTATTAAGGAGATTTTTTGTTTGTTCTTTTTTTAAAAAATAAGATTTCAAGTTCCAGTGGATATTTTACACTTACAGAGCATCCCAGTTTGGACCAGACACATGTCAAGTGCTGGTAACCACACGTGTCTAATATCTATCATGCGTCGTCTCAATCCGGCTTAGGAGCTTTAAATGATGTGCCACTTACATTTAACTCACCATCAATGTACAATTGCTTTGTGTGTTTGGCATGAGGTAGCATACCCTGCAAGGAAACGAGGTAGCTTATAGAATTAAAGAAGGATCTCTAGGATCCACAGCCAGTTGGTCTCCCTTGGGAACTCAAACAGGGCTTGATGATGCTGGAAAGTTTTACACCTCTCGTCTCTGCTTATCCTCAGTTTATTTCATGAACATTTCCTCAACATGGCCGTGGGCATGGCCATTGGTTGTTCTGGGGTCACATCTCTACAAGTCTCAAAAGACGAGAAAAGGTAAATCTAATTCTGTTAAGAAATATCTCAGTTCAGGTCATATTCCTATACCCTGCAGCTGGGGAGATGATGACTTTTAGCCAGATCATTATAGGCCCGTATTTATAACATGGGACAGAAATAATTTACCTCGAAGTGGAAGCTACCACGGTATATCATGTCTATTTCTACCCAGAGATGCTTTTAGGGAGCTGGGCCTATTCCTGTGCACAGTATGCATCAAATAAATATTTGTAAATTACAGTACAGTAGTCTCTTAATTTAACAGGAGCGTTTAAAGTAAGCCCTAAAGCAGGAGGAGGCATATAAATGCATTTGTTTGGAACTCGCTTTTATGATGCACACATATTTGAAGACCATCCAAATTTTTAGTGTATTAGTTTAGAGCTTTTGATTATAAGGGTTTGTTAACACTGAAAATAGCTCAACATTTTTTTATTTTTTTTTTGTAACCTGCATTTTCTGCAAACTTCCAGGTGATTGGAAGAGGTATGCTGATATCTTTGGTAACTGTGCAGCTTTGCAGAATTTTTGAGTGTGACTCTCTCTTATACGAGAGTACAGTCCTTCTGGCCATTGGTCTAACTTCAGCAATTTTTCTTCATAATTTTTTTTTAAATAATGTAAAGGAGGAGAATGTTATTTGATATTGAAGAACATTTTTTTCCTTCTTTAGAATTTATCTAACTTCCTGTCTGAGTGAAGACTTAACTCTTTAATTTATTAATTCAGTCATTTAGCATAAAATGGAAAATTGCACTGTGGCTCTGTGCTAGTTAGAGATGGAAAGTTGTTCCCTGGAGTACTGACTGTTTTACCTTTAATTCATATTTCTTCAGAGCTAATATGTTCCTCCTTTTGGGAAACAAAGGCCTCTCCTCTCCCCATTATGTTTATTCATCAGGAGAACTGTGCAGATGGAATGAAGGGGAAGAAGAGGAAGTGAAACAGAAGAATCTTCCTTTAGTTTCCTTTTTTTATAGAAACTTCAGCAAAATTGAATGAGGGAAAACTACCTGTTTCTGTTTTTTTTAAAGACATTACAGCTGGGTGGAAGTATTTACTTACTTTGCTGTAGAAAAACCCTGACTAGGTATACTCAAAGCAAATCATGTGGGGTTTAGGTAGACGGTGCAAAAAGGAAATGATGTAGCCTCACATATTTGGATGGTAGGCCATACACGTGGTATCATTTCCCAGGTGCTAACATAACAGAAAATGGTTCTGACCTCATCCACGCTGCTTTCCTAGTGGCTGTATCTTGTGTTATCCTGAACTTCTATCCATATCCGCCTCTCACACATGAGTTTTTTGTTTGTTGTTTATGTTCAGACATTCAGAAGCATATTTAATGGTATGTGTAAATGTAGCTTCAGAATAATGATAACGCCCAATTCTCACTGAATCCAAAACCACCAAAAATCTGGCCAAATGTGATATCTAGGATTTCTTTTCTTTTGGTGTTTGTTTTATGGACACTTGATTAAGAAAGTTAGTAAGGTTTAAAATTATTTTGTCTTTCTTACTGTTTCTAAGTAAACCACTTAATCTTAGCTTATATTTCTAATTCATTTTAAATTTGTAATCATAACATAACTGGTTCATACATGAAAAATATCATACATGATAGCATTACCTTCCAAACAATTATTCTGTGTATTACCTTTCAAGCTTTAGGAATATGCATGTTTTTATGTCATTGTAATTACTGTTTAATTTTGAAATTAGTTATTTTAGTAATTTGATGGAACAACATGCAAATGAAGAACGTGTATCTTTTATTGAGTTTGGGAGATCACCTAGTGCTAATGAGAATCAGAAAATGACTATTTCCTAGAATCATTGTGATTTTAAGTTTGTCACCCTTAAATGGTGATTTTAGATACTGGTTTATCACTGGCAGTAAGAAATATTTTTTATCTTTTAATGTTGAGTAAGGCTCAGAATTGTTATGTGCGTGACAGCAGTTATACAGAAGCGTTCTAGCTGTGTAAATATTAGATTTGACTGTGTTGCTAGGAAACCCCAAAATAAAAATAAGCAGGAAACAGATTATAAAAATTTTAAATTTGTGGTTATAAACAGTGGAGTTTGGGGTTACATCCTTTTATCAGAATTGTTGTGTGCAAAATGTTTTCTACATGAGTTAAAAAAAAAAGAAAGAAAAAGAAACTCCTTACAGTACGGTGATCATTTCCTGTTTCATTTTTCATTTTCTTTTTGCTTAAAGAGCTTTTGTCTCTCGCTAGGAGTTGCTTTAAATTTCAGGGAAGGTCTGTTCTGAATTTACTACTTCTGCATCAGTTAAGATCCCTTTTAAGTGTGTGCTTTGTTCTCTGAAAAGCTTAGGTCAGTTGAGCAACATGCTGCTACTGTTTAAAAAAAAAAAAAAGAGCTGAGTAATGCTGGAGCCTCCTCCTGTGGCTGATGCAAACCTGGAGAATTTGCATCATGATTTAGCTGGAGTGAGTTGGTGTGACAGGCAAGCTTAAATACCAGCCCAGGAGGAAGCTGAGCTGGTCTGTAATAGGGCAGCCGCGGCAGCCGCAGCACCGAGGTCGTCAGGCGGAGTTGATGGAGGAACAGGATGGGGGAACCCCATGAACACACAGGTGTTTCTGAGGAATAATTAGATAGCTGTGAAGGAGAAAATACACCTCTGAGTTTTTACCTGTGAACACAGTAGTACTGAGAGAGACAATCTGAAAGCAAAAAGGAGATTGGTCAGTCACACCAAGAGACACCCAAGTTGAAAGTTTGAGGTTTTTCTTTTCCTTTTTTTTTTTTTTTTCCTCCGTTCATTTCCACCCCCTCCGTGTGTCACTGCAATGGTCAGGAAGCCTGTTGTGTCCACCATCTCCAATGGAGGGTACCTGCAGGGGAATGTTAATGGGAGGCCGCCCTCCCTGGGCAGCAAGGAGCCCCCCAGACAGGAGAAAGTGGTGCTGAAGAAGAAAATCACGTTGCTCAGGGGCATCTCCATCATCATTGGCACCATCATTGGAGCCGGAATCTTCATCTCTCCCAAGGGCGTGCTACAGAACACGGGCAGCGTGGGCATGTCCTTGATTATCTGGACAGTCTGTGGGGTCCTGTCACTGTTTGGTGAGTGCAGCTTCTTCTCGGGGGTGTGTCTGTGGAGCTGGGCAGCTCGCGCTCTGGGAAAGCAAAGGGTCCTGTGTAAGGAGTGACTGAAATGGCCAAGGCTATGTGACATTGTCTGATTTGTGTTTAGGTGTGGGAAGGACCCAGACACTGTTGGCAGGGTCCCGAATTCCCTCCAAGTGCTCCCTGCCGGCTGTACTCGCTTTTCCTGACTAAGGCAGACTGCTTTCTGACTTTTCCCTGTGGCAACCAGAGCACAGACTAACTTGGCTGACCCGGTGAAAGACGGGCGAGCTCTCTGTACAGGGCGGTTGTGCTTAGTTCCGTCTGTTTGGGGCATCTTGGCAGCTGGCACACTGAATGAAAGCACCTGTGAAGTGAAACCCTGTGTGGCCTATTTAGACCTAGAACTGGGTGTTCAGCAGAAGTTCTATTGACTTTTTCTTGTTGGCAAAACAAACGGTGGCAGTCTTTCTCTTTTTAATTTTTGAACTTCATAAACGCTTGTGAAGTTCCTTAGTATTCTTTCCAAAGTCTTTGATGTGGAAAGCTGTGTGATGACATAACCGAGTCCCTGTCTCAAGTGGGTATATATATTGCAAGGGTCTGAGCATATCTCGGATCTTTCATCTTACCCCAGTACCTATAAACTTTTGCAATATAAATTGTAAAACTGGAATTGGGTGTTAGTTTGCTATGCTTGCCCAGATCTGTTTTCTTTATTTATGGTCTACTTGGTTTCTAGAGACAGAGATAATCTGTCCACCTGTTCGCTGAGCTAATCTAAACGGAACTGATAGAAGAAACGTGATTATGAATTTTTCTTTAAGATCTAGATCTCTTCTATTGATCTGATAATTAATAGTAAAGAGGTAATAAATGTACTCTCATGAGGTGAACAGATTACAGAAAGCTACATGAGTTCATTATAAAGGTGACAAAGACTGGTGAATGGTCAAAAAAATTAAAGTTTGTGGATGCTATGGGGTCAATGTCTAAGATACATTTGGCAAATAGTGTGTTTTGATTCTAAAAGACACTACTCTTTAAAGGTCTTAGCCCTCTGTTATAGCACTAGGACCAAGTGCTAACTCTTGGTCCTACACGTAACAATGCATTCATCCTTTAGGCCTTGTGATGTTTGAATGCATTGGTTTGAGCATTCGTCGAGAGAACTCAAATTTCCATTATTAGAAAGACGGTATTTTCAATAAAACTTGTTAAAACAAAGCCTTAGTATAGAAAGACCTATGGAGGATTTATTTTTTAGATTTTTGAAAAAGAGTTTGTGGTATTCATATTGTGTAGCATGTACATTTATAGACCAAGAAAAACCTAATGGTTGATCATCTTAAATGACTCCTGGGCACTCTCAACCTGTAATCTTCTACAGCACTGGGTATATCCAGAGAAAATCAGCGTCTAGTAGGAAAAGCCATAACCAGATTCCTGGACTTTGAGTACTATGTGTGTGCAGCTCCCACTATGTGATTCCATTTTTTTGTATGCAGTGAAAGGTTTTTCAGATATAATAAAATGAATCACCTCAAGCATTGAACTAGTTAAAGGAAGGTTGACTTGTCCTCTGAAAATACGCTTCTGCAGAAGTATATCATCTCAGGCTCAGGGGAAAAGAAAAAGCTAAAGGGACTAGCGCAAGTTACCCTTGAGTTGGTACTCTTTGATTACTAATTGCAGGGAGGGTGCCCCTGTGTGAATCTATTTATCTACATTTGCATTGCATTTGTCTCTTAAGTTATTAAGGTATTGGACAGCAGTGCATTCCTAACAGGAAGCAAAGCAAAATATAAGGGGGGAAAAAGTCCTTTCTGTTAAAACTCTAGAACTCTGGGACTAAAAGTAAAGAATCTATATGTTTGGTTTACAGTTTTTTTAACGTCTGGGTCAATACATGGATTTTTACATCTTGTTTTGAACGTTTTTCATCTGGGTGAAATGGTTACGGAGCTTGAGAATTTTAAATGAAAATCTCATCCCTCCAGAACTCAATTTATACTAGGGCAACCATCTGGAGTTTCTGCAAAGCAGACACTGGTCTAGGTATTGATTCTCTGGCAATAAATTCTGAGGTGCTTAAGACTCTTCCCAATTACATTTTATATTGGATGCTTTTCTGCACAGCCTACCAACATGGTGACCGGTTTCCAATGGAGAGCAAATTGCGACTAGTTACAATGAATTATAAATAGGCAAACTGTATCAGTGATCCCCAAATATCTTTAGAATTATCTGTGCAAATTTTAAAATAATAGATTATTTTGATCCCTCTATTGGAGAATCTGGACTCTTTTGGTAGAGTTAGTGGATCTGGGATATGGCCTTAGGGCCTATTCTTTTTGTTTTTTAAACAAAAATAATTCTTCCTGGATGACTCTGATGCAGTGATAGTTTCAGGAATAGGATAAGTGATAGTAAGATTTCACTGAATATTCAAATTATATTCATGTTGGACAGTTTTCTACCTGAAGCTTTACTGACTAGCACTATTTCCCACACCTTCAGTCTCTGAAGTAGCTTAGGCAAAAAATTTTGTGTTACATTTGAGTACTTAGCAGTATGGATAGAAGTTTTCTCATAACATAAAGATATATTTTTCATTCCTTAATTATTAATTGATCAAATTAATAGGTATAACTATATTTCAAGCGGTGATTTCCATGTGTCAGGCCCAGTACTGCCTTAGCACCCATTATCACATTAACACACACAGGATGAAACTCAGGTTTTGGGAGGTTACATAACTTGCTCAAGTCCATGTGAATTGTATTGCTAAATATTAAAATTTGGTCTATAATTAATTTTACCTAATGTAATAGCTATAACTTATAGCATTTTTTAAAAGTATGTTATTTCAGCCATCCAGATGCATATACTTTAAAAACACCCAAGAAAACCTTTTCTAGAAATAGAATATCTGAGTTAAAATTCAGTTTGTTGACAAAACATATCCTACAAAATAAATGAAGCCTTTCAAGACCTGGAGTCAATTCGTTTCTGAAGAATGGATAAATTTTCTTTATTTTGATGTGCTACAGAAATATCACATATTAAAAGGATTCTCAATATAATGAGGTCAATTTGGGATAATTCTTTGTCTCAGTATGAAGTTAGGTTCTAAAAACAGGTTAGTCCGAGTGGCTCAGTTGGTTAAGAGCTCGCTCTAGAGTGTGAGCTCTGTGGGCCAGTTGAGTGGTGCGTTGGTTAAGAGCTGGCTTGGGATGCCAGAGGGCCCTGGTTCAGATCCCACATGAGGGCCAGTGACACTGCCCTCTACAGCTAAGATGGTGAACAACAGCTCAACCTGGAGCTGGGCAATCGTGAGTCGCTGCCGGCATAGGCTGCAGCCCCTGCTGCAGTAGACTGCCATAAGCTACCGTGAGTGACTGGCAGCCGATGTGAGCTGCCAAGAGCCTCCGTGACTGGCCTTCCAGAGGCTGGTGACGGACCTGCCTTACCCGGGAAAAGCGCAATTATAATACCAACATGGGCCAGTGAAGCAACGTCCTCCACAGCTAGACTGAAAAACAAAAAGACAACAACTTGTCTGTTCCCCTTGCCCGATTCCCCAGTAAAATCTTTAAAACAAACAAAAAAAGAGCCCGAGCTGAGCTGCCACTACGCTGCCAACAGGTGGCAGGATAACTCAGCTAAAAAAAAAAATTAAAATAAAAATAGGTTAGTATTATTGGCATCTGTCTTCTATTTTTCCCAGGTCTGAGATTCAAAATTCTTAAATTTGATATTGTTTTAGAAGTTTGTCAAGTTTGTCCTCACTGTTTCAAGTAAACTTATATTGTTTGAATAGAATGAACTAGATCTCAAATTTAAGGAAGTTATAAGAGGAATTTGGTGGCTGTTAAGAATTAGATGACTGTTATTTGTCTTGAAATGAGGATGTCATTAAGACCAAAGGAAGTAGTAATATCTCACACAATATAAACATTGCTGTGTCAAGTGTACTTCTTGGTGACTTAGTCATAGTTTAACTTTATACCTTTTTATTATGTTTCACAGGAGCCTTGTCCTATGCTGAATTGGGAACAAGTATAAAAAAATCTGGTGGTCATTACACATATATTCTAGAAGTCTTTGGCCCATTACCAGCTTTTGTACGAGTCTGGGTGGAACTGCTCATAATACGGTAAGAACATAAATAGAAAAAAAATTAAGGAAAAAAAAAACCTATTCATTACACTGTTCTTTGCATCACCGTGATTATTTTAAACTAGTAAAAACATATGCATGTCATGTGACTATGTTGTAAACGTGTGTACTTCAGGACATAAAGTCTGTGATGAAATAGCTATATTAATTAGTGTTTTAATGCATTTAATTAACGTTTTGCCATGGGCCATAGTTTGCCAACCATGCCCACCTTTCTTGTAGCTGCTTTTCTTTCATCTTCATTATTCTCAGTGATATTTCTCGGAAAGACATTACCCTGAAAGGATATGAAGCATCAAAATCCGCCTTGATCAATCATATCTTTTGAATGGCCAAAGTTAAGTGTTAGGCTGGGAACTGGAGTTTTCCTTCCTGTAGATTGCACCATTAAGACTTTTAACTTGACTCGGGTTTTGTGACTGGGGACCTTCTGTGCCTAGCAGCTCGAGCAAGTTATGTAACCTTCATGCCTCACAACCATGTTTTATACTTTACAAGAAGTTAAGCCTTCTGTTGACATAAATGACTCACTCCCTCACGTTAAAGGATCAGTGAGCTACAGTTACGCAAATCTTTTTTTTAATTTTATTGTTGTAACAGTGCACTCCTCTTCCTGATCATCTTGGTTGAGAATCAAAGCCAGTCGTGCCAAGTCACTCTGAATAGCAAATTTCCTTCAACTTCCTGGGAAGCTCAGGGTGTCACATGAGAAGTTTCGAGTATCACTGTTCCTTAAGGTTAATTGCGTTTACAAAACGTGACGTGCACATTCTGATTACAGAGTTTAACAGAAATAGCTAGGGAAACTTGTTCTTTCTGTAAAACTTATCAGAAACAACACAGCTGAGAGCTCATGTGATCTTTTATCTCGTCATGTGTGGCTAAGTGCCAAAAGCAGAGCTAATAAGCGTCAACACTAAGGATTTTTATCTTCCAAGGAGGCTCTTTTCTAATCAAGAGCTTCAGAGTAGTATTTATTTCTTTGTTAAATCTGTTCTCATTTTAAACAATTCGGCATTTTTAAAGCTTGTTTTAATGAAATAATGATAAAGAAGTGCTTTGTTCCTTTTGTAAAATCTGGGCTTTGCTTGGGATGTGCCCTTCCACTCTTTCCTGATGATCTGAATCTTACTCTTCAAAGGTCAACTTAACTTCTCTCTCTCCCACAGTTAATTTCCTGTTCACTCTAGTTTATGGTATTTCTTTCCTCTCTGATTCTTCTGGACAATGCAGTGCCTGCTTCTCATTTGACATTAAACATGATATCTCGTAGTCTTATTATTGTAGGTGTCTGTATTCTGTTTCCCTGTTAAAACTGCAAGCATTTCAAGCACATAAGACCAGGTCTCACATTTTTTGTAACCCTTATGCCAGTTACTTTAGTGCCCTCAGTACTATAGATATTACTTATTTTGAATGAGTAATTGAAAGTTCAAGGTTATGATGTTTCAACTAGAGCCTACTCAGCATTCAAATGAGCACACTACTTATTTAGAGTGTTGCCCTGTCAGGATGGGGGCTTGGGAGCCCGACAGAGCTGGACTTGAATCTCCGTATTGGTTGGATGCTTTGGCTAGTGGCTTGGCATTATGATGAGTGTGGTCACTCCATTTTCAGTGGCACAGATACAGTGCTCATTTGTTAATTTATTCATTCCTCAAACTGCGACTGAAGGGTGAATGGCAAGTTAAAGAGATCTAAAGTGGAATGAGCCACAATTCCTGTTCCCAAGAAGCTCATAATCAAATATTACTTTAATTACAAGAGAACTGCTTCATGGTGTGTGTGTGTGTGTGTGTGTGTGTGTGTGTGTGTGTGTGTGTGTGTGTGTGTGTNTGTGTGTGTGTGTGTGTGTGTGTGTGTGTGTGTGTGTGTGTGTGTGTGTGTGTGTGTTGATAGAGGAAATTGCCTACATGTATTCTAGAAGCTTTTTTTTTTTTTTACTGGGTTTATGTAATAACGAACTCACATTGCTCAGTTGCTCTTTCCAACAGACAGAGTCATGAATGTCTTGAGGGCTGACAAGATACCATAATGTATTTTACCATTTCTGTCGACAACAAACAAGGCACACCTAAATATTTACTATGAAAAGTGTACTTCAGATTAAGTCACTCTTGCCAGAAATAATCTGTAAAACATAGATTTCAAGGAAAGAACTATCACACATCAGTACATAGCAGGGGTCATTAGATTGAATTCACACCTTCACCATATATTCAATATTTATTGGGTTTCCATTGTCTGATAGACATTAGACTGAACACTGGGGATAAAATAGTGATCAAGATGGATGCAGTCTTGTGCTCATGGAGCCCAGGGTCAAATGAGGGAAATAGTTAATCAAGAAATCACACAAGTGCATATGAAGTTGCTATTGTGATAGGCACTGTGAAAGGGAAGCCATGAGGTTCAGAGAGAGAATATTCCCTGTGAGGTCTCACCCAATCAGAGGGTGGGAGAAGCCTCCTCAGGCAAAGGAAGACTGAACAAAGATCTGAGGTCTAAAACACTGGCAACGAGTTGCAGGGGCTCCAGGCAAAGGGTACTCAGATCCTTCTCGTGGGAGGAAACACACACAAGAGGAAGTGAAAGCTTAGATCAGATGGAGCCTTGAAATGAAGTTTTTTCATATTCTGAGCATGTGTTGAAAGCACTCAAATGACATCAGATTTTAATTTATCCATCAAAAAATATATAAATGATCGAGAACAGGAAAAATAGTTCTGTTTTGGAGGTTGTGGGGAGGAGGAGGTCTCTAGGAAAAGAAGAATATCCAGAAATGTATAGCTCCCTCTGCTCTCAGCAGCCCAAGGTTGGAACGTATGTTGGGGGTTGGTTTTCTGACCGTCTAGGGATTAGGTGTAGGTTTTGGGTCCATGAGAAGGAAGAGAAGCTGGAAAAGGAAAGGGGGCTGAGAAATTAGATAACCCCAGGGGCTTGTCTGCGTATACAGGGAATCTGCATTCATATGTACATGTATTTGAACTGAAAAGATGTGTAATTCTCTCATAGAAATAGCTGAAGAATTAAAGTAGAATGGTTTGTTACCAATTTTACTATATACCTGAACTTATTTTCTTTTCTTATTTCAGTCATATTTCCTCACTTGGGTAAAATTACACGAGTATTTTTATTTCTCAGTTTATACTTTGCATCTAAATATTTCTGTGGAATTAAAAATAATCACTTGACTCTTCAAGTTTTCATCTGGAAAAATAAGAATAATACAGTGTCAAGGACGTAAGCACACATTTGCAGTGAACACTTACAATATGAATTTTCTGTTGAGTTTGTGTCCATTTTCCTGATTATGTCCTGACTTATTAGATCTGCGGGGCTAACACATTCTTACTGTGGCTGGAGCTTATTGATGACTTATTGAGAAAGAAGACTGATTCTTGTGAAGCTCAGCTGTGTTAGGATCTCAAGTAATACACTAGATTTTTAAGGGAAAAAAAAGTCAAATATGGGAGAGCAGAGGCAAAATTTATAGCACCTGGCCTTGCTCCCAAGGAAATGTGAAGTTCAAAAACTAGCCACCATAGTTATAGACAATATTTCATTTGGAATGTCGATGACAACCTCATCAAATATGGAGTTCTGAAAATTATAGACTTTCATATTTAACATGTTCCATATGGTGAATGAAAAATACCTCAAGGTAGGATAAGTTTGGTGAAGATGCATTGTTTTTTTTCTGTAGTAACCTAAATCTATATGTTTTCTAGCCCTGCAGCCACTGCTGTGATATCTCTGGCATTTGGACGCTACATCCTGGAACCGTTTTTTATTCAATGTGAAATTCCTGAATTTGCAATCAAACTCATTACAGCTGTGGGCATAAGTGAGTATGATAGGTATCAATATGAAAAAAAGACACAAAAGTGATTGGAAACAAAGTTTCTGCAGAGCTTTCCCTTGGTGGGACTGCTTCCCATCTTATGGTCTTTTTGATTATAGTTCCTTGCCTATTTTGTGTTGGAAAATAAAGAAAGGAATAAGGATTTGGCGTGATCCCTGATATTCCATTATATGCCAGTTTTTCATTGGGTCAACAATAGCTACGATGGCTAATATTTTAAAATAGGCAAACAAAATCCACCTTGTTAGTAAAATAGAAATGGGATTGTATGTATAAAGAGACATTTACAGATGGAAACCCAATTATTTTATGGATTTTTTAAATTAGGAATTATCCTTCCTCATTGATAACATCAAATTATATGTCATGTATCCTCATGGAGTGATATTTATATGTTGGGTGTGTGTGTTGTATTCATACATTTTATAGAGTTAGCAGCTGTCACTCTCATTGTTACGGGCTTAGTTCCCCATTGATGGTCATGATACGAATCTTCTTTTCTACATGTGATTATTAGTAGCATTTATCAACTAGGCATTTTCTTCATAGTCTCCCAATTAGGAAGTTGTTCATTTTCATCAGTGGGCACAGATAATAGAAACAAATTTAAAAAGGAAATAAAGAGGAGTATGAACAATATTATATAAGTGATATAAAGCCAGATATGACTAACTGCCTATAAGAGTCTAGATTCTAAACCCGTGACTATTATGGGAAATGATCATTTAATTATAAATGCCAATTGAATCACTGTTTTAAGAACCAACATTTGACTAAGTTTGAATTACTTGGAAATAGAAAGTTACATGGAGATAACTGAATTGCATCCTCATGAAAACATTTTTTTAGTTTTGTTAGCTAAGGTGTTTTAATAGAACAATGAAGAGAATGATGCACTTTTGACAGTAGACAGGTGAAGGGTTAGTTTTCAGGAAAGAGCTAGGAATTCCAGATAAAAAGATGATAGTGACTTCGGCCCAAGCTCTGGAGGCAAACAACCTAGAATTGAAATTTAGTGTCACAAAGCCTTAGTGTTGTGATTTGGGGCTAAATATTAAACCACTTGAAGCATCAGTTTTATTTATTGATAAAATACCCGTGAAAAAGATAATTTACCTTGAATGGCTATAGAAAGATGAAATTATGTCAGATTTTTTTTATTGTGAAATAAACATTTTTTAAATTAGTTTCAGCTGTACAACAGTTATACAATAGTATATACTTTTTACCCCTCAAAGTGACAACCCCCCTCCGCCAATCCACCGCCCTACTCCCCCCCCATATCATACGTATCTATTACAATTCCCTTGACTCCACTCCCACTATATATATATATATATATATATATATATATATATATATATAT